CGGATATAAGAGACCCGGATATAAGAGAAACCCGGATATAAGAGAGATTTCCTCTGGTCCCAAATTAGAGCCTGTGTTAATGTATATAAATTAGACCAAACCCGGATATAAGTGACTTCTTCTCCGGTCCCGACAACTCTCTTATATCCGGGTTACACTGTATAAAATGTTTAGAATATAGCATCGTATGCAAAAGAAACAGTACCATCAAATGGTATGGAGATGGTATATTGAGCGCTATGTTGCGATGCAAATTATCCCAAAAATCTGACCGGAGTTAATGATCTAACAATATGGGATGGAGTAAAAAGCACACCGGAAGAAGATATGATGTGATATGATGCAAAAGGGAACCAAACAGTTTCTTCCATTTGTAACAGGCAACACATAAAGATTGTGTGCCGAAATGTTCCAGTATAACAACAGTGAGTATATCACCAGCCCAAGATATACACCGGAGGTTATACGACGCCATGCTGTTTTATACCCGGGGCATAAGTTAGTCTTAGCTAATTACCACCCTCGTGTAAAAAAAAATAAAAAAAATAAAAGCTAGGCTAGAATATACCCAACCAAGATGAGAATATACGCCATTTGCCTTTTCATGCATTAAGATGCAAATTGTTGTCACATTCGATAGCGGTCAGTTTTATATCGAGTCTTTGGTTTGTATATTGGTAGGTCAAACGTCTGGATGCCTATTGATTTGTGTCAAAATGATTGAAGACATGTTAGTCTTCTGACTGTCCGCAGTTGCGTTGCGCGTATAGTCTCCGAATTACGATTTAATATGCAGTCACTGAACACATTAGTGTAGCTGAGGTTCAGAAACCGATTTGAGAAAAACAATTATTGATACTAATAATATTCAGCAATATAATCTTGCTTAAGGGTATTTGCAATAATACTGTGGTTATTGTCTACGAGACTAATCGCTAGTTGTAAATACGAGCAAAGGATTAATCTGAACCGTTATAACTGGTGCTTTACGGACCCTAATGGCGATCAATAGATCCAGACCTATCCTCTGCAGCATCACCATGTAACTGCAACCGAGCTGCAAACACGTCTCATAGTTGAGTATAGACAAGTATATTCCGTCAAACAATACGCCATCGGCTTGAGCAGCAAAGTAGCCGACCATAAAAAAAAAATATCTGCAATGTAAAATTAATTTTTTTATCAATTGTATTGTTTATTAATGCGCAAAGAATCATTCTCTACGAAAACGGCAAACGGAGTAAAATATGCCAAAGAAAATATTATTTATGGTATCATCACGGACCAGATTTGGCTTTAGAGTATCGTTAATCACATCTTCAGACCTCAGTAGCTTGCGTGATTAGGAAACTCTTCATGGTGTTCGCTTCATTACCGCACGGTCCCAAAAGCCTAATGACCTACACATTGAGGTGCCAGGCATATCGCCTGATTTCATCGTAACATGTCACTTGTGTAGTTAAATCCACGTGATTATTCTGTGAGGCAGACAATGATCGATGATAACGGCTGATAACAAGAATACCCAACCTTATGTTCCGCTTAAAACTATTATAGCAGTGCTAGATTAAACAATAAAACTTGGAATCCATTTCTGTGCCTTTTTGCGCAAATTTATACAAATTATGGATTAAATAATATTTAGAAAGAAACTGTAATTAAACAGTAAAAAAACTCTAAAAATCCCAATATCTTGAAATTATTTACACCGGTTCCCGTACGATTATGCAACATCGAATCCTGTCAGTATCTGGATGGGGTGATGACGTGGGTATACCAGGTGTTGTAAGCTTGGATGTGCGGTGGTGGGATGTATAATGGCTTGGAATTTCTAATCGGAGCGTCGAGTTCCAAATCCAGTTGGGTTCTTTATATTCACTTAACGCGCAAATATCCTTGGGAATGGTATGGATACACCTCTTCTCCTCTATCCAGATATGGGGTAATTTGCAAGACTTCACTCAATCAATCATTATTATCTTGAAAAATTCTTACAATCAAAAAATATTTTTCTAGTTTTAAATAGCCTGCAAAGAGTTGATAAGTTGTAGAATCAATCAATCCAAATTATTTAAAGTAATCCGAAGAAAACGAGACAACATATCTTTACATCACCCTTTGTCTTAAAAGAGACAAGATAGGATTTTGTGCTCAATTGTTGTTATAAGTTAGTCGAAATTCCTCTGCAAACAAGTGGGAGAAATTCCGTATGATAAAGCTTCAACAAAACTAGACTTTTCTCTTTTAATCGTCTTTTATTGCCACCCGGAAAGTGACTCATTTCCTATTATTGGGGTAAAGTTTTCCACAGACCTGAAGTGAGATGATTATATGGAATCAATGACTAGGTCAGCTATTAGGAAACTTTGCTCACTGTGGTGTGCAGGACAATTCTTTCGTTTCTCTTGGATGTTGTATTTATTGAACAATTTTATAAAATAATTAAATTTGAGGATTTTTATTCTTGAACTAACTTCCGAACTTTGTTAAAGTAAGAAAATAGAGATGTTTTTTTTCGGTTGTCAGGCTGTGTTCAAAATATATTTTTATACTATTTTTTCTTTCTATCCCGAATATTGCAAGCATGCAGCAGTAGGACAGTATAACAGATCATCTTGCCACAGTGCAAAGAGTGGTAAAGTTTATTTCTTCTGTAACGGCATATTAATTCCCCTGGCATAACCAAACAACAGTCCAGATATAAATCCGATTCAAGAGATGTGACGAAATTTAACAAAAAACAAACAAACAAAAAACAAACAAAAAAACAAAAAAAAAAAACAATGATCATAGAGAAGGCTTTCCTCCTGCGAAGATAATCTGTCAATTCGAAAAAATATAATTGCATAGAACAATATGGATAATGTTTCATTCAATTATCGAAATAAATAAAACAAAGATTTTTTGACGTCGAGAGTTGTTCGAGTGACAAAAAATTTTGGTATTTTATTATTTATCCCATGTATTTTCCTTATAAATTTTATGATTTCATATTTTTCGTCATGGGTGGGTATCAAGAAGATAGAATTATCGGCTGTTAAACACGAATTACGATGACGAGTCCTGTAATCTCTTGGTTCATAGACGGCACCGCATGTACGGAAGCTGTTGCAATGGTGGCGTTTCCTAGGCAAGCTAGCCTGATGGAATCCAACTCTCCCCAGCTTAACTTGATTTCAAAATTTTCTTTCTCGTCGACTGGTTACCAAACGAGGCTTTATGACCCAGTTTGTCCTGCTACTTTATAACTGAATTTGAATGTAATTCGAACTCGGCTCTCCGATTTATCAAGCCTCTATCCATTACTCAACCTTGCCACTGTAAAACAAATATGCATGCATAATATCGGCGATTTCTTTATTGGCTATGAAGTCAAAATATGTTTAAACATCTTCTATACAAAATGTTACCATTCTTTATATTTTGGTCTGTGTAAATATGTCAATATATCTCTATATCTTTCCATAAATTTCAACAAAGTTTGTAAAATATCATCAGTGTAAGACAAATAACTATCATTTTCACAAGAGAGGTTTTGTTATGTCGATAGCGAAATATAATGCTTGCATAAAAAGAAGTTTAAAAAAAAAACCGTGAGAGGCATATCAATAATTTGAAAATATATCATTAAAGTTATATAGCGTGTCGTTCCTACAAGAATATCATGGAGACCTACTGAATCCTATTTGTAACATACTTGTTGACATCACAAATATAATAGCATCGTCTACATGTAAAAAGAGACTAAAAATAATGGAATAAAAACAAAAAAAAATTAACACTCAGTAATGTCAACTACAAAAATAGACACAATATCTTGACGTTGTTTTGAAAATGAAACCATTATATAAATAGATAAATATATTTCTTATTAACAGTTAATATATCTCAACTATGAAAATGTCTAAATGTTTAGCTGAAAGCGCTCGAAAAGAAAGAACAATTGGACAGATTTCATATAATTTATCCCCCGAAAAGAAAAAAAAATTATAAGATCACATGTGAAATTGTATAAAAAAAACTAAATCAAAACACCTTGTATGTCGTATTCAATGAAACGTGCGTGAAAGAAGGATTGCTGCCTAAATGCACACACACACACACACACACATATATATATATATATATATATATATAATATTTTCGAATTTTTACTACATTCGTTTATCAAGGATTGTTCTGTGTATATTTACGCAACTGCTTTTGTTTAATTCCGACGTTCGCACCAATTACAGGTCAACTCATGCTGACGCCATTTAAACGGTCAACCTGAATTATTTATGTTTACTTTTTAAGCACACACACACACACATATATATATATATATATAGATAATATTAGTGGAAAATATACATACATATGCAAAATATATATATAAAATTTCCATACATGTATATTTTCAGAAAAAAAAAAAAAAATTTCCAAGAGGAAGAATCCAGGTAGAACTCAATGTCTAGGACAAAGTAAGGATATAATAAAAAGGCTTAAACACTAATATTCCATGGTCATAATTTATTCCATTGGAATCATAAATACGATCCAAATCATCAGACCTACAAATTCAAAATGAAAACAGACAAAAACAACTCCGGAAATCAAAACAGAATTTAGAGAAAGTGTAAGTATGAGGAGGAGGGACATGAAACCTTAACAGAGAGAATTTTAGAAGATGTGGGAGGGGGGATTTAAAAAGAGGGGAGAAAGAAAGTCGACGGATGTCTAATGCATAAAGATACATTTACGGAGTTGTTTTTGTCTGTTTTCATTTTTGAGGTTTGATGATTTGATGTATTTGGATTCCGACCATGGAATTTAGATTCCATTATATAATAAATGTATAGGGGACCATAGAAATGGAATATTACACAGAACCTGCACATCAAGACCTTTTTTTATTATAAAATGAGATATAGAATGTTATAAATGAAGTTGTTGTGTTTGGCGGAGTTAAATGCGTTCAGTTCAGACCCTTTGTTCGGGGGAAAAGTTCCATAAAGGGCTTACGGCCACATCACGTTGAAACACCAGAAGTGACTTTAAGTTGGCTCCTGTATGATCACTGCAGTTAAGCAACATCGAGCTTTGTCAGTATTTAGATGGGGGATCACTTGGGAATACCAGGTGCTGTAAGTTTGGGTGTGCGCATTGAGCAATGCATAATTGCTCGGAATTGTTAATCGGAGAACCGGGTTCTAATTTCTGATGGGATCATTATATTCACTTATGTCCAGATACCCTTTGGAAACGTATGACATTAACCAACCCTTACCTCCCCACCAACTACGGCTAAATTAGTAAGACCTGTATTACTAAATCATTATTATCTCCTCCAAAATTTCTTAAAACCTAAAAATATTTTCTGGCTTTAAATAACCCGCAAAAGGTTGATAAGCCGTAGAAAACGAATCAATAAATCATGTTCAGTGAAGTTAAAGGTTCACCTATCGTTCGGTTCTCATACCTTCTTTAGAACAGGAATAGATGTATCCATTTTTTCCTGTTTAGGACTGGGGTTCCGCCGTCTCCTAAATTCTACTTCAACTCTATACTTCTAACGTTTCCGCCTAAACTCTAGTATGGACGGTATTATTTAGTTCCCGGTTTGTTTTTAGGATCTTTTCCCTTCCTTTTCATTTCCAGTTGTCCCTTGCATCTTAGCGTCATTATTGCCGTGCTTAGGGTGAGCTAATTTTTTTTTTTAAATCTATTGTCGAATTATTTCCCAAGTGCTGTCGAACGGATCATAGGCGTTTTAGTTCATCATTTCTAAATATACTAGTTTTATTTAAGATGTTTCTTTTATTTTTGTAAGAACTTATCTATATAGCGATTTTCTAAGCTTGATAAACATTACACCGCCTCGAGGTGCCCAGAACTTATATATATATATATATATATATATATATATATATATATATATATATATATATATATATATATCTTTACATCTATCTATCAGCCTGGATCTCTCTTTTAATGTTAACCGAGTACAATAATATCTTGCCACGAAGGAATATCGCCTCGTTGACACTTCATAGCCATAAAGGCCTACGGCATGCCATTCAAGAAAGTGTTCAATCTACTGTAGGCATTTTTGTTTTGAGTTTTTTTTTTCGGGTTAGTAAGTGAATGCAAGGACATAAAGGTGTTTGATTCTGCGAGGAATTAAATGCCGTATTAGCATAATTAATATTATTGCTTTTTCTTTCTTTTTTTTTTCCTCAAGTAAATGTAAAAGAAAAAGACTTCCCATAACGTCGGCGCATGTGCAAGAGAGGCAAAACTGGAAAGCGCGCGCACATCGGGCCTTTTTTCTTATACCTCTAGACAGCAGAAAAGCCAATTCTTATTGGCTAATGCAAGTCTTGTTGCTATTATTAAAGAAAGAGCTACCTCCTGATTATTGATACATTTTCTGTTATTAAAATCACGCCGTGCGGCGTGTTATGCAGAAAGACGACTTGTTAAGATGCCGGGGTACCTGGCAGAACGGATCTGATGTTGCGATACCCGAAATCCATAATGAAGCCAGAGTAACATCACTGATGACCTCGAGCGTTGCATTTTATGAATATGTTTTAAAAACACATACATATATACATACATACATACATACATATATATATATATATATATATATATGTGTGTGTGTGTGTGTGTGTGTGTGTGTATGTGTGAAAAGTGTATATAAATATAAATAAATATATATATATATGTATAATTATTTATATATTATATGCGCGTTTTTGCGTTAGTACGATGACATAAGCGACGAAGTCCCCCCCACACTTCCACAATAACACCAATACACGCAATCTACATAAACCCAAATTTTTTAAAAAATTAATCAGTTTGTCTGACGATCGCTAAAGCGTGAAACCCAGGGTCACAAACCCACATCTATCCAACCAAATACATATATATATATATATATATATATATATATATATATATATATATATATATATATATATATATATATATTTATCAGTCGGTTTCTCTCACATGTCGTAAAATATCTTCCTTCTTTCCCTTTTTATCTATGTATCTCCGTCTGTTAATATCTATGTAACTATGTGTAGGCGCATGGGCGTGTGCGTGGGCGTTCGTGTGTTAATAAACTGCTGTGTACAACTTCTTGGATTGCCGAATAAAGAATTAGCCTCGAATATGGGAAGATACCAAAACCGATCACAGAGGAATGCGATGCGTAAACTGGACCGCTGCGTTCTGATGAAGTTGGAATGAGGAACCACTGAATTAGAAACAGTTAGATGTTTCGACTTCGAGATTTGTACGTTGAGGTAAACGGTAAAAGAAAAGATACAAAAAAAAAAGAAGCAAACTCGAAAGAAAACAAGAAATTCGTATGAATTTAAAGCCTGCCATATGTAGTGGGGGGGTATATAATAAACTGAAAACAATATAAGAATACATTAAAAAATCGATAAACCTGATTGGCAGTTATAAAAACTGAACAAATGAAAAAAAAATCAATAAGCATTTATATGTTAATTAACATGATAATCATACTAGATACAATGATATTGGTTAAGTAAAACAGATGTTAAAAGTTGACTTTGATATGAAAGGAGACACAGTATGCCTATTAAATTCACGTTCACTCTCCATTTCTTACTACGGTCTTTACTATCGTTTCATATATATATATATATATATATATATATATATATATATATATATATATATATATATGTATATGTCACCACGAAATGTATCTTTATGCATTAGACATCCGTCGACTTTCTTTCTCTCCTCTTTTTAAATTCCCCACCCCACCCCACATCTCCTAAAAATTCTCTGTTAAGGTTTCATGTCCTCCTCCTCATACTTACTTTCTCTAAATTCGTTTTTGATTTCCGGAGTTGTTTTTTTTCTGTTTTCATTTTGAATTTGTAGGTCTGATGATTTGATCGTATTTACGATTCCAATGGAATAAATTATGACCATGGAATATTAGTGTTTAAGCCTTTTATTATATCCTTACTCTGTCCTAGACATTGAGTTCTACCTGCATCCTTCCTCTTGGAAAAAATTTTTTCTGAAAATATACATGTATGGGAATTTTTAGATATATTTTTCATATGTATGTATATTTCCACTAATATTATATCTATATATATATACTATATATATATATATATATATATATATATATATATGAAGAAATATAGTCTCAAGATGTGCTATATTTATGGGATAAAGTGCTCAATATCAGAGCTAGAGCGTGTGTAAATATAAAAGTGAACAGAGAACTCAACACTTTAGAGGCGACAGTCTGTTTCATGCTAGATGCAATCGTCAGGCCACCCTGTCGCCTCTAAGTGTTGACGTCTATGTTCACTTTTGATATATATATATATATATATATATATATATATATATATATATATATATATGTATGTATAAATTATTTATATACAGATGTAGAAATCTAGCAACCATTCTTTTTAATGAAGTGACATATGGATGAAGTCTAACATAGGCCCCGAAAATAATAAACATTCACCGAATCGTACAATCACTAGATCATGCAGGAGAAAAATATATATATATATATATATATATATATATATATATATATGTGTGTGTGTGTGTGTGTGTGTGTGTGTGTGTGTGTGTGTGTGTGTGTGTGTGTGTGTGTGTGTGCCTGTCTGTGTGTGCCTGTGTGTGTGCCTGTATGAGTGTATGTGCGTATGATGTGTGATATCACTATAGTTTGTAGGCATGCTATACGTATTGGTAAAAGTGTTCAATATCAGAGTCAGAGCGTGTGTAAATATAAAAATGGATACAGAGATCAACATAGAATGGCACCATTCTCTTTCATGATTGGACGCCATCTTCAGTCCAGAAGAGTGCGTTCAAACACGAAACAGGCTGTCGACACCCGATGTTCATCTCATTATCCATTACCTTTGGCCTTTTGCCATATCTAATCTTCGCATAGTACATCATCATATATATATATATATATATATATATATATATATATATATATATATGTGTATATATGTGTGTGTGTGTGTGTGTGTGTGTGTGTTCAAACAACTTCTGCAAAAGATGCAGACGCTTTTCAGGAATGATGACAGGCCAATCTTCCCAAGAGAAAAGTTGTGGTGTAACTATGATGAATCCATTTTTTTTATTACCAACAGAGACGCAGTCTTCTAAAGAATAAGAAAATTGAGCGAGTACAAAAGCATTAAAGAAACGTTAATTCACACTAATTATCCATACCACTTAAAACTCCTGGCAAAAATGGCGGTAATTAGTAAACTAAGAGGCAGTTCACTTAGGTTTTTCTTTCGTCATAAATAAACTAATTATCGATAAGACGCAAAACAATTTCCTTTAAAAGCTGGGCATGGTAGCTTCATAATACTTACCTTAAACACACGAGATTTAATTATTTAAATAAATAGTTTAGTTCCCACGCGATGTCGAGGAAAATATTATGGAATAAAGCAATGACAAAGAAACATTATGGAAATTTTATGTAATTTGTATTTCTGATTTGAATGCCTAAATAAACATCAGCAGAAGTCTAGATTTAGAAATCGGTCAAAAGTTAAAAGAGAATTCTTGCAATCGATATCAAGCTAAGTCTAATTGCCAAGTTTGCAGCTAAGAAAGTTGATTCATTATGTCGTACTAGACAATTTTTCTCGTAAGAATCTATTTTTCATATTCATATGTCTACCATTTGTCCTTGCTTTGAATATTGCTGCCGTATCTTGTCTGTCTCTCCTGCTATATATCTAGAGATTCTTGATAAAATCCAAAGAAGAATCTGCAATGTTATCAGTTCTGACTTGGCATCTCGGCTTCAGTCTCTTTCCAACTGCCATGACGTAGCTTCCCTGTGCCATTTCTATAAACATTTTCATGGTAATTGAACTGCTTGCTATGGTACATAGACTTAACGAATTTAAGAGCATACTAGATTGGCGGCAAGGTCTCATTATTTTGCAGTTGAAATGGCTAGATAAAACAGACAGTTCTATGCTATCAGTTTCTTCTTTCGGAGTTTTTGCTTGTGGAATTCTCTTCCGACTTTCCAATGAACCTTGATGGCCAAAAATTTAAATGCAATGTCAATCGTTATC